GCCTGGCCCCAGAGGGTTGCCAAGCCTGTCAGTCCTTAAAGGGGCCGACTGCCACACCTATCTCCCACCCGAGTGCTTAACCACAGCACCACTAGGGACCAATCTACTTTCTCCCCCCCAACCAGCCACAGCCCCTGCCGTCGCGCTGACGTCCACGCAGAGAGCCCCGATGGAGAGCTCTGCGATCGCGTCTCTCTCTCGGTGGGAGCAGCTCTCTTCAGTGGAGGAGCACGTGGCTTTGAACCACCGGTCTTGCCGTGGTCACACCAACACCTACCCCACAGCGCCACCAGGGCCCACGTCCAGAGTACAGTGAACGCTGATCGTGTGCTGACGTGGACCTGACCTCCGAACAGTATTTCTGGAGAGGTTAGGTCCCCAGACAACAGTGGGACACATTCCAATTAGACATCAGGAAGAACTTCCCAGAGAGAGGGCTGTCAGCCACAGGAGTAGACGCCGAGGAAGGCTGCCCCAGGTCCCTGACTGCCGGGGCTGCGGAGATACGTTGATGACGCCCTTATCTTGCCCAAGCGCGTTGTCATACACAGCCTCTTCCGTACTGATCACTACGATGGCGGTCGATAAGTCTGATCATCTAACAAGGCGTGTCCGTTGAGCACTGTGGTTTGCACTTACTAGCTCATTGGAGTCCCACAACCACCCTCGTGAGGTACAAGTCCTGCTGGGATGCCCATTTTACAGATGAGAAAACGGGGGCTTGGAGATGTCAAGGGACAGACAGTGGTCTTTCCTCTTCCCGCGCCACCCCCGGTAGCACACAGCTAGTCAGTGAGGGTGCTGGGATATGTGTAAGGGTGTGGTCTTCTCCATCGGGGTGGGCATAATCCTCTCAGCTCCACCCGGCAGAGCCCGGGGGCTTGCTCTTTCTCTGACTCTTCCTCCCAAAGGGAAATGGCAAACAAGACAACCCAGTCTTGGCCAGTCTGCCGGGAGGGAGGGTCTCCCATCACCTCAGCCCTCTTCCCGAGGCTCGGTGGCCCCTCGGTTCCCCTGCCACTTCCCTCCTATCAAACCTGTTCCCTGGCTCGGTGGTGACGCCACCTCACCCAGCTTCCTTGGGTGGTCTGGTTGCCTCACAGGGTGAAGCTCTGAGAACATTTTCCTACTGTGCAGCCAGAAACTTCCACTTCCCATGCCCAGGGCTGCCCCTTCTCTTCTCTCCCTGCCCTCCCCCTCCTGCCAGCCACACCCCAGGCACCACCCCCGCGGTGCCTGTGTCTGATGAAAGGCCCCCAGTCCTGCTGAGAACCCGCAAGGCTGCTGGGAAGAAGGCATTAGATTCTCCCAGGTCCTCATGCTGTTGGATGGAGAAGCCTGGAGTGGCTGTATCCTGCGCAGGCCCAGTGGGACGTGAAGACAGGGCCCCTTGCTCCAAAAAGAAAGTGCACCGGTGTTGTGGTGTGTTATGCTTCGAGTTGCTAATGCAAAGGCCAGCGGTTTGAATCCACCATTCACTCTGAGGGAGAAAGAGGAGGCTTTCTGCTCCCCTAAAGATTTAACGTCTCAGAAACTGCACAGGGAGGCCGTTCTTCTCTGTCCTATGGGGCCACCATGAGTCAGAGTCCACTTGATGGTGTTCAAAAAGCATTCAGAATGTCAAGATGGCCAGATCAGAGAGTGAGACCAAGCCATAGTCCTTTGGACTGAGCCCCGGAAGCCGGGCCAGGCATAGTTGTAGTGGCCGTAGAGTGAAAGTGTGCGGTGCGGAATTCTATCACATCACCGTAGACCCTACAAACAGCAGCAGGGACTCCTGGGGCCAGGCTGGGGAGGGGTCAGCCTTGTCCAAGGTCACACAGCCTGAGCAGGGCAGCACTCCAGGTGGGGCTGTGTTTCTCCCGCAGCGCTGTTGTCACCATTGGTGGATGCTTCCAGAAAGTGTGTGATGTTTCACCGGTCCAGCACTCAGTGTGCACACCCACACGTGTGCCCAACAACCCACAAGTGAACACACCCAGAAGCTCATGTGGCCCGGGTCCACCCTGCCCTGCCACCGCCACTGCCACCAGGCTGGTAAACGCTGGCAGGTTCATTCAGCCAAGCAAATGCGGCCACAACCAAACCCCAGGCACCCTGGGATCTACCTGTGTCCAGGGGCGGGCTGGAGGTGGGAGCTGTGGTCTGTCCTGTCTCCAGCGTCTCCTGCACGCCTGCTCCCTCCTCGCCACTGCCCAGGTGTACGTGCTCCCCCCTGCCCCCTCAAACAGGGCACCACAGCCTCTCTCCAGGGCCAAGGCCATTCCCAAAGGCCCCTGGCATCCACCTGGAGGCTCTGGCCTTTGACATCTCCACCCACCTCCCTCTCCCAGCTCTCCGCAGTCCTCTTCCGTCCCCTTTCTCCAGCACCAGCCTCACCTTTTCCCCTTGTGTGCGCGGGCCAGGCCTGAATGGGGCTCCCCCACCCCGAGCATTTGAAATCTACCGCCTGGGCCCTCCCTTACTGCAACATTGCACTGCACCCAGCCAGCCGGCTGTGTGTTGTCTTAGGGCAGGATGTGGGGGTGGACAGGTGGGGCGGGCAGTCTGGGGGAGGGGGGTGGAGGGAGTGGGTGGAGGGCCATTGAGCTACATCAGAGCCTCTGAGGTGCGGCCCCTGGAGGGACAGCTGAGTGATGAGGCCTGAGTCACAGGCCCTGCGTGCTCCTTGAACTCCCGCGCTGGCTCCTGTGCAGACTCGCCCTGCAATGCGCAGGGTAAATAGTTAGAGGTAATCGTTTTGTGTGGCACCTCGTGCCTCCCTGCCTCTCTGAGGCTGAGCCAGGCCTAGGACTGCAGTGGGTGGAGCCTTGGTCAGACCCAGGCTCTGCAGGGTCCTTTCAGCAGCCCGGCGTCCATGGGTGGCACCCTGTGGGCCCCGGCCACTGTCCACTGTGCCCGAGAGTGTCACATTCCAACCGGAACCCCAGGCTAATCGCGGCAGCAGCACAACCCAGTGGGCCTCCAGTCGACTCTGACTCATGGCGACCCAGAGCCTTCCAGAAGGTTTTCCAGGCTGCGAGCTTTTGGAAATAGATGTCCTGGGCTTTCTTCCGAGGTACCTCTGAGTGGGTTCAAACCATGGATCCTTGGGGTAGGTTTGTACCACCCCGAGACTCCAAACCCAAGGCGTAAGCAAGCCAACCCTGCCCCCCTGGTGGAGTAGAGGAGACAAGCACTCCGTAGGAAGCAGGTTGCCGGGCCTTTTTCCCACAGCACGGCTGGGTGGGCTTGAGCGGTTGACCTTTTGGCTACCAGTTGAGTGATGGCCATTTATGTCACCCAGGGACTTCCAAGTCCATGCCTAAGAAGGCTCGAACCCCCGTCCCCCCCGCCGCAAGGGCCAAGCCCTGGCTTAAAACCCATTGGTGAGCTCCCTTGGTCTGCCCCCCTTCCGCTCTAAGCCACCTTGCCAGCTGCTCCTCCCCCTTGTCCGGTTGTGGGGCAGGCTAAGGTCAGGCACGGAGGGGAGCACTACAGACCAGCGCTGACCTCCACATGCCAGCCCCTGGGCTCTACCCTGCACCGGGTGTCTTCTTCCTTGGAGGACATGGAGTCCGGGGCTCAAGCCTTATCAAAGATAAAACATTTGAGACTAAACAGTCTTTTTATAGATTGGAGCCGGGCTCTGGAGCACATGTTTCCCCTGCCAGCAGCACGCAACCAAACGTGCTTGAAGTTTGTGTCTTCTCCGGGGAAGATGGAGACGCCGAGGCTTGGGGACGGGGAGGGGAAAGGGCTGTAGGCAGGCCTGGGGCGGTGCCCAGCAGTGCGGTGGTGGGCTGGGCTGGGCTGGGCTGGGCTCCCATCTGCACCCCTGCTCCCTGGGGGCTGGAAATAGAATGGATGGAACCCAATTGTGTCAGACACTCACCAAGCACAAACTGAGCCGGCAGTGCAAACACAGGCAGGATCCAGAAATGAAGGCCGGACCCCCGCCGCGTGGGGCTGGACACTGAGGGAAAGGCGAGGAAACAGAAGCTGATATTTATTACTTCTCCCTGCCATC